GGGTTTTTGAATTATCTGTACACATCCTGGTAGGATGGAAAGAGGTGGCAACTTTCCAGGCGAGAACGGCGAATACTGGCGGCTCCTTATACCAGGCACGTCCATGGTCAGTGTCTACAGGCGAGGCTACATACCAGGAGAGAAAAAAAAGTGGTTGTCGAGCACAACTCCCACACAAAGGCTCAGCGATTAGACTTCAAGCTGATCCCAGTTGCTGCACGGGCCATGGTAAATTGGCCTCAACAATGCACACCTGAAAATGTTTATTTACGAAGGCTACATGTATTGCAGTTTAAATTCCACATGTGTGCCCCACTTTGGCTTGCAACCTTATGGCTTTACTTGTTTACAGAAATTCGTGGGGCAAGCTGTGTAAAAACACTGGATGTTTCACCGTAGATGTGCCAAGCAATTTTTCTGATCTCTTATTCAATTTAACTAATAAATTATGAAATGTGCATTAAGAAATTGACAACCTTTCACTGACATCAGTTGCTTTTCAAATGAATGCTATCAACTCTTCGTACCCCAGCATCCACATATATGGGAAAGACATAGGCGTAATGGGATCAGGTTAGCCAACGCATTGGTTTAAAAAGATTTGAAATATTGCTATTACTTAAGAATTACTTAAAAACATCTGTGTGTCCTCATCTGTGAATAGTGGTATGTGTGCACAGAACAATTGTGTTCTTTTTCAAGCCACCTGTAGAGGTGTATAAGTTCACTCTAAATTCTTAAGTGCTTAAATTATTCAATTTTATTTGAGAAAAGAAAGAGCTTATCTATCCTTTGTGCGATTTTTGTTGCTCTGTGAACAACCCATGGCCTAGGCCATTGTAGTACAGTGCAAAATTTATGAGCAGGGTTTTTTGCAGCACAATTTTCATCAGACCTTTCATAACAAACACTTGCAAGTTTCGATAATTATGCATCGTTTCAAACAAGACCTAAACGTAAGTTTTGTAAGTTGAATTGTCACGTTGGTGAACGCCAGACATACAGAGTTCATGTAAGAAGCTGGTAAAATGCCAAATGTTTGTTTGTAGTATCATTCGCTTCGTTGCTGTGCTGCTTTGTAGAAAACATAGCCCCGCCGCGGTGGTCTAGTGGCTAAGGTACTCGGCTGCTGACACGCAGGTTGCGGAATCGAAACCGGCTGCGGCGGCTGCATTTCCGATGGAGGCGGAAGTGCTGTAGGCTCGTGTGCCCAGATTTGGGTGCACGTTAAAAAAACCCCAGATGGTCGAAATTTCCTGAGTGCTCCACTACGGCAACTTTCATAATCATTTGGTGCTTTTGGGACATTAAACCCCACATATCTATCAATTGTAGAAAACATAGCTAAATACACGCTCTAAAAGTTATGTTTTGATTTTCTTTGCTTTATTCTGGATGTGGATTAAAGAGGTAATGACTCAAAATTTTATGAACAAGACAGCCTGCGGGATAGTTTCCCACCAACATGCCTATATCATCTATAAAAAATCAACAGCAGCTACATCGGAAGGTATCTTGCATGAATTTCAAGGTCTGAATTTTAAAGGAATTGTTACCATCATAACATCTATACAATATCAACAGCGAATAGACTGAAAGTTATCTCACATAAATATCAATGTTTCTCAATATTGAAGGAATTGACACCAAGTGGGAAGGCATTTCACATGAACTTCAAAGTAAAAATTTTGAACGAATTGACACCATCATATCATCTATAAAATATTAACAGCAAATAGATTGAAAGGTATCTTGCATGAATTTCAAGGCTTTTCGATTTCGAAAAAATAGACCTTTTTCAAGCAATCCCACAACGCCCCAAGGGCACGCGGAGCACTATGGGAAAAGTTGGCACGCCGATCGAACTAGCTCTTCCTACGCCCTCTGCTCGTTGGTGAGCACAAAATGAAAAGAATGAACGCACCTGCATATTTATCTACCCATGAAATGTGAAATGATTAACACAGCCGGTGTAGGTATCACTGAACGGGTGTGCATCGTTCGTAGAAAATGAGTGGCATGCGAGTTGTTGCATACCGATACATGTGGTAAAAAAATGCTATTGTTAGGAATGTGGGCTGGAACACTTAATTCATAACTATTCAATGATGAACTGCTCATAAAGCACTATGGCTTTCAATACCACTGCGGTTTGATTGAGCCGTTAACACAAGAGTGCAGAGAATTGTTACAACTATACATTTTTAAAATATTTATGGACAAGTCGAGCGCTGAAAAAAGAAAAAGTAAACGCATTATAAACGTGTTCAAGGACAAAGGGATGGAATTAGAATTCACGTGCCAGATACCTTGCTTTGATAATTTGTGGTTTCTTATAATATGCTTAAGTGCCTCTATGGAGCATGTTTGTTGGCAGTATACTCCGCATAATTGAGTGAGACTACTACTGAATTTCGCGTTGGCACATTCAAATATTGATCAGTGAGAAATAATGATGCAGTGTTTACACTCGGCAAAGAATAAAACACAAAAACACTTGGACACATTGCATGAGAAATAGCTTCCAGCTGCAAGAAGGCACGGTGTCCTGCCTATATCATATTGCATCGGTTTGTGAAAAGCTCATAAAAGATCAATTCAGACAACCGTCACCTGCCAAGAAACTAAGAATATGTTAGTTATTGCATGCATACGCTCTGCACATCTGAAAGGAAGTTGGGAAGCGATGCAAGGTGAGAGTTGTTTCCCGCACCCTATGCTTGGTAACATTCCTTCCATACAGCGCAAAAGGTCACGGGGGTCTGCAGTGGACAAAGAATAGTACTATGAGAGGCATGCCAATTGTTTTTTTGTTTTTTTTTAATTGTGGAAGAGTTGCAGGGGTCTGCAGCGAGCAAGTAGAAGTACTATGAGAAGCATGCTAATTGTTTCTTTCAATTGCTGTGCAAGAGTTGCTAACCGAATTCCTTGTGTGTTCACATATATACACCTGATGATATGTGGGCTTTAATGTCCCAAAACCACCATATGACTATGAGAGACTCCGTAGTGGAGGGCTCAGAAAATTTTGACCACCCGGGGTTCTTTAACGTGCGCCCACATCTGAGCACATGGGCCTACACCATTTCCGCCTCCATCAGAAATGCAGCCGCCGCAGCCGGAATTCAAACCCGCGACCTGCGGGTCCACATATATACACCTGCCAGACTGGTCGATGTATCAACATGCGCCTCGGAAAGCACTAAAATTCATTGAATGAAGTCATCTTATCGCACCTAGCATTTGCAGTCATGCAAACACGATTTAATCTTTGAAGGCCTTGTAATCTTCCTCAGTCACCTTAACTAGACCACGCAAGAAACCTCAGAAACATATCATAAAGACCATCGTACCTTAAGTCAATTAAACTTTGCTATAGCTAGAATACAAGGAAATTTTACTGAACTGTAAACATGTGTCTCGGTTGTTAGTCTTTTGGTATCCCATTGCGACATGTGTGTTGCACCCCCCTTTTCTTATATATGTTTGTTAACACGTGCGATAACCTTTCAGAGTGAGCGTTCCCGCTGTGCATATTTTTCTCTTGGTCCTACTTTCATTTTGCTCTGTAGTAGGGTGGCTAAAATAGCCACCCTACCTGTAGGCTTCATTGCAACCTGCAGTTACAGTGCCAAGGGAAGTTGGTAGATGCATATGCTGCGAGTGGGCGCAGTGGTATAGTCAATGTATCTTATTTTATGAAACTGCGCTTATTTCTAAAGTACTCTTTAAATATAACAGAACCCTACAATTTACTCATGAACAGCGTCAGAGCATCTCCTCCGTGAATTTATGGACAGTGCTTGCAACTTTTAAGCAACCAAGTTGTACTATTTTTTATTTATGCCAAAGGCAGACTGACGCTAAAGAATAATAATGAACTGACACTTCTGAGCCGCTCAGCTGCTCGAACAGGGGAACAAGTGCAAATCGTAGACAGGTCATCGCCCCCCAAACACTCAAGTTTGTGAGTGAATCACACAGTAATATATCACACCTTGCCGAGTTGAACTTGATCTGAGAAGCGCTGGCATGGGGCAAACGGAAAGTTCAAGTGCGAGACCCGCTCACTCGTCACTGTGGCGGCTGCTGCATACCAACTTTTCTCATAAGCGCTTGCGCGCTCGTTGGTGGCGCTAGTGTGCTTGAAAAAGGTCTATTGACAAGTGGGAATGCATTTTACATGAACTTAAAAGGTTAAATTTTGAAGGAATCGACATTATCAAGTGACCCCATGGTGACCCCCTTTGTCATAGCCGCCATTTCACTTCTGCCTCGTCGGAGGATGCCACAGCACATGCGTCGACAGTTCTGTTTACAACATTCCTGTCCCATGTCCTATTAGAAAGGACTTATTGATGTGCACCGTGCAGAAGTGCGTCAGTTCTGTGTGCTGATGTGGTCAAGTGCTGCACACGCCAACACTACGTGGTGGCAATCGCACCCAGCGGCTGTCGTTTTTGGAGCTCTCTGAAGCCCAAACTGGAAAAGTCTGTAATAAGGAGCCTATAATCAACTAATCTGTCGAATGGTGCCGCAAACAATGTGCTGTGTTATGACTAACGGGCCCCCAGCATTACATTACAGCAATAAAACTTGAGGCCAAAATTTTTGTTTCAGTACACTTTTAAGTGATGAGGACGTGCATGCAAAGGTCGGCAAACTCGCTCATAAGTCAACTCAATTGGACTCGCTCAGACTCTGAGAGCGATGCCGAATGAGTCACATTTTCATGAGTAAGAGTGCAAGCGAGTTCGGATGAACATTTTCGTGAATGCGAGTCCAAGTGAGTTTGGCTCAAGAAACTTTTGGCGAGTCTGGGTGAGTTTGAAGTGCAAAATGTATTTCTTGAGTGAGTCTGAGTGAGTCCCACTTTTTTTTGCCGACCTAAGCATACATGCCATAACTTTCGAGCTGACTACTAGCGGTAGCAAATGTCCCAATTCTGAGAGCACCAATAATTATCGTCTTGAAATATACCTATCAGCACCAAAGGCCTCTTGAAGAAGAGCCTTTTATTAACACTCTTTGGATAAATGCTACAAGCACACTTTTTGGGTACCCACTGTCCCAACGCTACTGCCGATTATGAAACCATTCAGTTTGAATGTAAACATGAATGCTGTGGGCAAGCAAATAAATGGGTCTTGAATAGTGATAATGATGATGAAAACATTCAACATGGCGATTAGGGTGTTAATGATGGCAGTAGATAATGATAGTGAAAATGTTGAATCAAAGCTGTTTGCAAGCGGCCACGTTAATGTTTACGATAATGATATCAATGATAAGTAGTGATAATGATAACTAATGTGCTGGAAAAGTTGTTTTACAAAGGCAAGGTTTCCAAATACAAAGAAGAATGATGGACCTGTTGTAACTGGCGTTACCCGCGTTCACATACGTGGACACTTGTTACAAATTTTCCACGTTTTCACCTTATTTCAACTTTTGTATGTATTGTTATTACATATACAGAAAAAATATGCACTTGTGCAACTGGATTGGCAGTGGGACAAACAATTAAAAGCTCCTTCTATAATAACGAATGGTAATGCCAATGATAAAAAAAGTGCCATCTACAGAGCTGACCTGTTATTCAAAAAATCCTATACTGGTGCTTTTACACGTGAAAACATTTTGCGATAGTCTATTCATTTCTTTCCCGACAGGAAATGCTACTGGAATCTGAAGCTTACATGGATAGAAGCCAAAAGCACAGGCTGCTCTCACCACCACACCCACTGAAGCAAATGCAGCCCATGCAATTGCCACTCCTCACCCAAAACCCTAATATGCAGATACCTTTGAGCTGAAGGTTTAAAGAAAAAAATTTATGTCACAGCAAAGGACATCTAGCTCTTGACAACAATGAAAAGAAGTGGCAGTGTTTGCTGAAAATCTCTCAAGCATATCCAACCAACCAACATAAAGAAATGATCAAGAGCACTCATGTGCAGGTTTTCACAAGTATGAACATGGTTTCAGAAGAAATGCGGTGTACAGTATAATTGGCACAAACGTTTGGAAGAGATAAAAAATAGCACAAAAGACTGCCATTCTACGAGCTTGCACATGCAATCAAAGCATGAAAAAATATTCCAAAAAAGTAAGTGGCATTAACAGTAAATGAAATAAAACAAAGGGACAAGTTTTTCATATGCTACGGCAGTTGCAAGGTAACGACAGAAACTTTCTACTCTTCAAAGCGGCCACAGAAATGCTTCATGCATTCCCCGTAAGTTATAGGGATACACATATCTATATAGATACAGTAAACCCCTATTGCGATGAAGCATTCTTTAAGGAACCCTGTTTTTTTGGTTATGCCACTAAAACAATGCAGGTTTCAGATCGAACAACCTAATGCCATGAGACAACATTACAAAGGCCAGCTTAGAGTATAAACATGCGGGTCTAAAAGTACGAAAATTGCTGTTTTTCAAAGCATTGTTTCTTTCCTTGGCATCAATGTGAGTCATGCGACTACACTAAACCACACACTGAATACCTGACAATAAAGCAAAATTGTGGAACTGAAATATGGTTTCATCATATAACAACAGTGGAACCTTATATTTGGAACAGCTATTGTAAAGAGGCTGTTTCATCTTAACTTGAAGGCATACAATTGACAAGAAAACCTGTGTTGCTTATGATGCATCCTTCCAGTTTTGTAGTGTCAAATCTTTTTCAAGTCTCACAAATGCATACATTCATATCTTTTCAACAGCAGTAGGAGTTCCAGTTACAATTTGCCAGAAACAATTGTACACATACTTCAATGCCAGTGTTGCGAGCTCTAGCCACATTACCACAACTTTTTCAGGGGCAGCACTACATTTTTAAAGTACAGATTAAATAACTAAGTATTTGCTGTATTCATTACTTCATGATAATGGAGTTTTACTGTAGTCTTCTTTTGGAGGGGATATGTATATAATAAAATATTACCAGCCCTCATTGCAACATGAAGGCCACACAAACTTTCAGTTATGCAAAATCGAAACTTCCAGATGTCTATACCCTCATATTTTGAAAATATGAGTCTTTGAGGCATGAATGAAAATGTCAATAAATGGAAGAAATTGCAGCACTCCAGAGTTTTTCATCTGTGACACATGGTCAACTGCCTACACAACTTTGCTAGACATAAGGCTGGTGTTACAAAGTGCGTACAAGTACACTGGACAAAGCATAGAAAGCAAGAATAAAAACATCATAATTAACTTAAAACATGTAAAAAGAGCAAGGCAACACAGATGTCGCTGTAAACATAAAACTTTCATAAAAAAGAGGACACATACTATAATTACAAACGAGTCGATCATATAGCAAAGGAACACAGCGACATGATATGAACAACAAAAGGCATAAAAGAAAACAGCTCCACAAGAACCTCGACAAAGGCGAAATCTAAGAATAAAGAAAAACAATTGTGCAGAAGATGGGGGGAATGCAGCAAGCTTTCATTGGGAAGTTGAGCCGATTCAATCTCTGATCACTTCAGTCAAATAAAAACTGCAGCACATCTGTGTGGACACCACCCAACCTCCTATTCATTTTAAAACTCCAGTTAGCCAGACTTACAGCTGTATGTTTACGACAGCACACATGTAAAAAGACGGTAAGGTGCTGCACATATAAATGTTAAAACTGTACAAGTTGGGTTTGTAAAGTGTATAAAGGAAGCTGTACAAAAAAAGTCGCATAAAAAGAAATACCGCATAAAATATACATAGACTCAGTTCTACAAAATATGTAAAATGAAACAGTATAAAATACATATCTGCAATTCCATTATACAGTGCAGGTGAACCTTGATCCCTCTTCCAATACATTACCCCAAGGTGGCACATGGAGTTTCGCCCACAACTAACTTTATTCAGTACAGAGCTTGCACTGTGGAAAGGAAAGACCAGACAAGGGCTTAATCAAAATACTGATGTTTGAGGGCATCCTTTGCAGAGATCCTCTTGGCAGGATTGTAGATCAGCATTTTCTGTAACCAAAACAAAGAAGGAAAAAAAGCGGTAAGTTAAGAGCTCATTTTCTTTTGTTAGACACAATGTAAACTATATCACAACAAAAAGGAAGGATCTGCGTAACTGTTGTGTTCCAAGCACCCCTGTGTCACGAGCGAGCCTTCGAACCCGCGAAGGACCGAATGCTGAAACTGCTTCCAGATGTTGACTCCTCCCCTTCCCCCGCTCGGCGCAAACGAGCCATTGTTCGTTTCCCCCAGCAGTTCGGCCACCGCCTCCATCCAAATAGGAATAAACTTGTTTTTAACAGTTCGAGGCTGTCTGAGCTTTTTGGACTACCGCGACCTACGCGCACGTCTATGGGCCGACGACAACACCGGACATAACACGTTTTTAGCACGCTTCGTGGTGGAAAAATCTTCAGCACCTTGGACTTGACACAAGCCTACCAGCAGCTGAAGGTGAGCGAATCAACGTCTGAACTGCTCACGATAAACACTATTAAGGGCCTTTACAAAGTTAAAAGGCTACCATTCGGAATATCTGCAGCGCCAGCAATCTTCTAGAAATTTATGGAGTCTACACTTAGCGGGATCCCAGGTGTTTGCGTCTACTTGGACGATGTTATTGTCGGTGGCGCCTCCAATGAAGAGCACACAGAACGCTTGGAGCTCATTTTGGAAAGGCTAGCAAATGCTAATTTGCGCATCAGTAAAGAAAAATGTGTTTTTGCGGTGCCTGAAGTGAAGTTTCTTGGACATCAAATTGACGCGCAGGGTATCCATCCCTCTGAAGACAAAGTGCGTGCAATCACCGAAGCACGAGCGCCTACTAACAAGCAAGAACTGCAGTCGTTTTGGGGGCTATTGACGTTCTACGACCGGTTCTTAGAACATCGAGCTACAGTGGCCAACGACCTATATCAGCTCCTGCAGAAAGAAGTCCCATGGACTTGGTCGCCACGCCACCAAGAGTCATTTGTTGCCCTTAAGCAACTACTTCGCAAGTCTACTGTTCTGTGACACTACGACGAAAGGAGACCCCTACTGCTAGCCTGTGACGCATACACCAAGTGGCTGGAGGTAAAACAAATGGCTACAACGACATCGGCAGCAGTTATCGACACTCTGCGGTCGTTGTTTGCAACGTTTGGCCTACCGCGCAAGGTGGTATCGGACAACGGCACTCCGTTTGTGTCCACGGAGTTTCTCAAGCTTTACAGCAACAACGGCGTCTCGTTTGTTACATCAGCTCCTTACCACCCAGCTACGAACGGACAAGCCGAGCGCTACGTGGCTGAGCTAAAGCGCGCTCTTACTAAAGACCAGACTGGGACAATGCAACGCCGCATCGCGCGCTTTCTCTTCAGACAGCACAACACTGTTCAAAGCACTGCTGATCAAATGCCAGCGAAATTGATGTTCGGACGAGAAATGAGAACCCAGCTGACAGCAATTGTCCCGGAGCCCTCAGCGAAAGCACCGTCGGAGGAAGAAAAGCTCCCGCATAGCAGGAGAATTGAAAGTGGACAGCGCATATACGCCCGCCAGTTCCACAGAAAGCCCGGCTGGGTTGAAGCGACGGCACTCAAACGCATAGGTTTGCGGTCATGGCTCGTCGACATTGGTGGAAAGGCCACACGCCGCCACCTTAATCAGCTAAGCCGTTCAGGTAATTTGCCAAGGGAACCTCCCATTCAAGCAGCCACCTCGACGGAAGCTTCGTTCCACTTAGCCTGGCATCTCGCACCAGATGAATCGGCGCCGCCGCCAGCCGGCCCTGAACACAAGAGAAACGACACCCAGCGAGCAGAGGCTTCTCTTCCTAGTGCGTCCAGAGCGTCTACGCGCCCACGGCGGCCCCCAGATCGCTTCCAAGTGACAATCTAAGGAGGGAGGATATGTTGTGTTCCAAGCACCCCTGTGTCACGAGCGAGCCTCCGAACCCGCGAAGGACCGGATGCTGAAACTGCTTCCAGATGTCGACTCCTCCCCTTCCCCCGCTCGGCGCAAATGAGCCACCGTTCGTTTCCCCCGGCAGTTCGGCCGCCGCCTCCATCCGAATAGGAATAAACTTGTTTTTAACAGTTCGAGGCTGTCTGAGCTTTTTGGACTACCGCGACCTACGCGCACGTCTATGGGCCGACGACAACACCGGACATAACAGTAACAAAAGGATATTATTGCATAGTAAAACAGTTGATTAACTGCTTTTTAAATTAAACCCAGTGGCAACACCATCTCTTATTGAAATGTGATTCATTACCATGCAACCACGCAGCGTATGGCTAGTTTAGCCCACTAAAAGAGGCACTGCTTCTGAGCATACTACACCTATAAATTCCACGCTGCGCATGCAGGCTGTGCACAAGTGTTTTTTTTTTTGTTTTTTTTTTTTTTTCATTGAAGCTGCTGAGGTATTCTGATGTAGGGAAAGCTATGCAGCAGCAAAATTGTTACTTTGGAGCAAATAAATTTGTGCCCAAAAGCACCCTGGAGCAGCTATTTGCACATTCTGGAGTACATTGGAGAAACAAGTTGTATTTACACTTAGACCACTGAATAATGCAGTGAGGTATGCATCTGGTCGGGTTGGTAAAGGTGTGTTTACACTGGAGCGTCACGACAGCGACAGACGCGGGGCAAACTCGAGTCAATTGGCCAATGAGTTGTTTGAAGACTACAACGATGACGCCTATAAAAACAGCATGTTGTCGTAACATGATGGCAGACTGAAAACACCAGCAAAACGAGGCTGCAGGTCGTCAGGACATTCGTGGCTGAGTGAAAATTCGCTGATGTCTTTGCTTCAAACGTCACAAGGGAAGATCTTGGGGGGAAAATAAGGAAGCCCTGCACAAGAGCTCTTCGCCTAAGAGTCTTAATGGGCGTCAGATGCCTATTAAAACGCTTTAGGAATCTCTTGCATGGCCTCCTTATCTCTCCACACAGACATTTTTTTTTTCTTTGTTTCCCTTTTACCTGATAGGGACAATTACAGAGCACGGAGGATGGCAAGTTCAGTTTGTGTTGCTGTGTGCGTGCCTTCTACAGGGCCTCCTTATCTACTAGGAAATCGGAAAGGCAACGGTGACTGTGTGAGGGCCCCGACGTGAAAAATCCTATGCTAACGACAATGTGCCCCTAAATCTGTGCGAAATGTCAACGCTCAGTTTTGCATCAGTTATACCAAGACATTGCAGCAATGACAAGCCGAAGCCCCCACCCCCCCTCCTCGCTTGAGTGCATACAATGAGAGAATACTAAGGATTGAGAAAAGCAACGGCGGCTACGAGAGGACCCCAAAACAATTGAAGCCCTCCGCCAACGACTAGGTGCCGGTAGATCTAGGGGAGGTGCTAACGCTCTGTTTCAACGAGAGTTTGTCCCTGGAATTTGGACCACCTTGTGTCTGTGAATGTTTGTGGTTAAACTCAACGCTCTCTAAGCTAAGACTCAACCTAGAAACAACCTAGCATCACCCAGCTAAAGCCTAGCAACAACCTAGAAGCAATTAGATCAAACTTCAGAATCATCCAGTTTATGGCAAGGCTTGCGCATCTTAGGGCAAGCTTTGCCTTTTTTTTTTTTCTTGCATTAGATAATCATCTAGACCTTCTGTGCCTTAGAAGACATAGCAGCAACTATAAAAGCAAGCTAAATACTCTTTGCAATTTTCTTTTTGATGAGCCAGTTTCAATTGCAGTATCCAGGAGGTTAACGCTTTATTATGTCATAAGAATGGCTCACTTTATCTTTGCAACAGGTGCTGCGGCCAAACGCGAGAATAGTCAGGCAAAATGTGCTCAGTAACGTATAGTCTCACTAGCCTTGCATAAGCAAATTTTGTAGCTGTATGATCACAGCAATACCAGATCCTAAATTTTGAGCCCAATTTCATGGCCCACTTAAAAAATGTGTGATTTCTCCAAGTATTGCTTATTTGGAAAGTGACAAGCTTTGATGCATGCAGTAGAGATTTTTCACACACACACACACACACACACACACACACAAACACACACACGCACACAGACAAAGCCTCTGTATCCTTTTGTGTAAAATTATACAAGCCAAAAAGTTGAACATGTGCATTTTGTCTAAAAGAACATTCCTTTTGTGACAACAGTATTTGTACATGATCCAAACCAGAAGGTATGGAACAAACAGTACACACAGAATGAAGTGTGCCAATTTAGGAATAGGCAGTGCAAGTACTTTGGTTTCCATCTTCACATCGTGTCAAAGTATTCCCATAATTTCCTCTCAAACACCTACATCAGAGACAATGTCCCATTCATTGGCCAGATTCATAGCGATGTGACGCAGTGAAGTTATTGCACACTTCTTGAAAGAAGAACACTTAGGATGAAACACGAGAGCGACACAAGCGCTTGTGTCCATCTAATCCTTCATCCCAAGTGTTTGTCTTTTAAGTAATGTGCAATAATGTAACAATAAATAGCTACCAACTCGACCAATCAAGTACCCTTATAAGAGACATAGTTACTTAGACAATTGTGCAAATAAGGTGCAACACTTATGATTATGACGTTTTATCCTGTGAGCACTGTACATAATCTGCAAAACAAAGTTTGCTTGTGGAAAACCACTCTAATACTATAAATGATGTCTGCGATCCAGTACTTCCAGTGAAAAGCCTGCTTGCATGCACAGTGGCTGCTGCAACAGCCCAGCTGTGTAGCGCTGAGAGTTACTTCTGACCAAATTTCATTGCATACCTGCCAACCTGGCAGCATGTCGATCAGGGAGACCACAATGGGGGGAGGGCGGAAGGTGGCATATTAAAAATCACTGAGACTGAGGCATTTGCGACACACTGTTGTTGCTTTTGTACACTGCAATTGCGAAAGCATGGCATTTCAGAGCCTCCACCACAGTGTTTTCGGCATCAGCAGCCATTTCCGCGACAATGGCAGTTCTCATACGTGTGCACCCGTACCACAAGCCTTGCCAACGTGCGAAACGCTTACATCACAGCCGCACATGGTACAGAA